GTGTGTGTGTGTGTGTGTGTGTGTGTGTGTGTGTCCACTGACCTGCCGCAGTGTGCATGTGCAGGTCAGTGGACAACTTGAAGGAATCAGTTTTCACCTTTGATCATGTGGGTTCTGGGGATCAAACAGATCACCAGGCGCAGCAAATGCCTTTATCCACTGAACCATTTCGTTAGCCCCTTATCTTCATTTTAAGTCATGCTCAGAGATAGACTATCAGGTCTCTTACCCAAGCTGGGACAGTTTTGAACATGAAAGAGGATCTATTAGTTATGCCTGGACAATAGCCATAGGCTGCAACGCACAGCTGTCCCCTGATTTAAAACTTTCATATTGCCTCAGATCTCCACTTTCATGGCTGTAAAGCATGAACTTTCAAACCTGGACTTGAACATGGTCTCTCACTTGGACCACGCCCTGCAAACAGTCTGGGTTGGTTTCTCCTTGTCAGACACTTGAGTGTTTTAAAGTAGCTTTGCATGCATACATCATCTAGCGTGCTGCAGGTACTCAATAAATTGTAAGTGCTACCACTAGCTATTGTTAACACTACAACCAAATCAGCACAAGAGTTGTGTCTTTATACCAGATGTGTGTCAATCACTGACCTTCTCCATACAGAGTAGAAAAAGAACAGTTCAACCTGCTGCTCTGGAGTAGGAATCCTATTTTCCATAGTTTTCATGTGTGAGATGGAATTATCTACAGACTAAGAAATAATATTAGATGGTTACCTATCTACTCAACTCATCTGAAATGAGATAAAGATACTCACATTCTGACATAAACAAGTTCCTACCGTGAGAACATGCTTAAGGATTTTGAATTTTCCTTCTATCCCAAGGCACACTCAGAGCTCTGAAATGAAAATCTGCTTTCCTGATACTCTTCATGTCCTTGGGATTTGTGCATTAAAAATACACTCTCTTCCCTGCCAGTCTGGGACCCTGTGGCCCCAAGTGACAGCATGGCTTTAATATTTGATAAAGAAATGATGATACTTTAGTATGGATAATTTCTGTTGGTTTCTATTTTTTAAACTAAATTTGAAACTCATCCAAATCAGAAAAAAATAAGTCATTGCCATTGCAGGGTCCCATGTTATTTGGGATATGAAATTATAAATGAAAAAAGGTCTCTCACTAGTAAACAAAAATATTCAAATTCTCCCCAAGTCCAGTGAAACATTAGGGATTGTAGAACTTCCCACTGCCATTCTTTTGACCTAGAAGTGCTAAGCTGGTTCTCAGAGAGGGGCAGGATGGCAGTTGAGGGTGGGAAACAGTCTCCTAGCTCAGGGTCTGCTTGTTAATTGAAAGACTATTCTCATGCAAACTTACATACCAACCAGCAAGCTCCTGACACCTGGGATTAGCTGGAGTTTTGGAGCCTTGGAGTATTTTTCCCACTTAGCTGGAGCAAGCATTTCTCAGTGTGTCTTGTAGACATGCCCCTCTTCCAAAGAGACCGCTACCCAGCCAGTAACACACACGCTGCCTTGTGGGAGCTACGCCATTTGCATACATTATAGAACAAAGAGGAAGTAAAAGGATTTAGGGACCATTACCTAAGAAATAATAAGCTGGAGAGCACAGGTGAGTTGCAGGAGGGAAAGAGCACCAGTGCAACCCTGAGAGAAAACTTCAAGCCCTCTAGGTGTGTCTCAGTGATTGAGCCCTTGCCTAGAATGCAGAAGCCCCTCAATCCAAACCCCAGCACTGCAAGAGCAACCAATAAACAGCCAACTAGGGCCTTGATCCACCCAAACAGCAACAAGGACAGTTGTCCTCCCAAAAAAGACTGGCTTGCTAATGTGCTGGCAGACACTGCTCTTTTATTCCTATTTGGAACAAGTATTTATTGTAACACTATAGAATTGAGGTCTAAGAACACTGACAAAGCTCTCCCACCTCTGTCCCCTAGAAACAACATCTGAAATGGACTGTGCAGCCCTTTGTAACTGTGGCATGTTGGGTAATAACAGTAAAACTGGGCATTGTTGGTTCTTTTGCCCATTAAGAACAAAAGGGAGGGGCCAGAGAGGTGCCGCAGGTAGGTCCACTGGGTATTCTCCCAGAGGAGCCAGGTTCGAGTCCCAGTGCCCACATGGTGGCTCACTCCAGTTACAGAGGAGCTGATGCCTTCTTTTGGCCTCCATGGGTACCAGAAATACATGTGGTGAACAGACATGCAGGCAAAACATACACAAAATAGATAAATCTAAAAATAAAATCAATTAGTAAAATTTAAACAAAAAAGAACGAAGGGGAAATTGAAATGAACTTTTATTCATTTTTATTTTGCAGAGTTCTTTCCTCCATCTCTCACTCCTGCATGCACCTTCCCATTCATCCTTGGCTTCTTAGAAAGCAGTACGAGGGCCATGAGTATGAAAATGGCAATGTAGAAAAGCAGGCCTCCTGCCCTGAAAGCCCTCAGTCTTTGTCACAAAGATCAAACCAATCAGTTCCCTCCGCCACTGTGCACTCTTTCTAACATTCCTTGGTACACACTCAAGTTTACACAAAGTTCACATGTGGAAGACCCTCAACATTTTCCAGGGGGCAACCCTGAAAAGCTGGGCTCCATTCATAGTCTCAACAGGCTGGTTTCTTTGCTGATGGGTGAAGGCGCTTCCCACGAGCAAGCCCCTTCTGCCTACATTTCAGACAAGAGCTCTTATTTATTATATTTTTTCTTGCAATTACAGAAACAATGTTGTCAGAGTACAGATTTATGCTTGCAGGTGCCAGTGCAGAGTCGCCCCTTGGTAGCACGAGGATGAAAATAATGGAGTTGAGCTGGCTTGTTCCTTCTTTTTATAATTTTTAAATGTTAAGTGAATTTTCCCCTCAGCATTCACTGTAATGGATTTTATTAATGCACTTCCCTACATATATCCCATTGCATTTTACTCTTATTCACCCCCCTCCCCGACTGCTCTCCTGTGTCCTTCCTCTCCTCTTGCTGGACCCTGCCCTCCTCCAAACAGCAACTTCTGCTGTCATGTCATAGTACTCCACTGTCCCCCTTTCCTCCTCCTCCTTCTCCCTCTCTCCCTCTATCTCCTCCATGAAATGACCTCCTCTCCATTTTCATGCCACACATGCACACACACACATACACAAACATATACACACACACTCATGCACACACACATATACACACATACACACATAACACACACTCACACACACACGCATACACACATGCACACACATGCATACACACACATGCACACATACACTCATGCACACACACACTCATGCACACACACACATACACAAACATACACACACACACTCATGCA